CACTGATTCCACTCCACCCCCATTTTATACCCATGGAGTAACCAGTGTTCACACTTGGATGTATCATTTCATGTATTTTGTTGGCATAAAATTTGAGGGTGTAAAGTTTCTGAGAATCCTGCTGTAAAGGAAAATTTCATGTTGTAGAATCCAGCATTTCCTAAACTTTCTTTTGACCGTGGAATCCTTTTTTTTTTTTTTTCCTCTCCCAAATACAATCTATAAACACATTGAGAAATGCTGGCCTAATGGAGGTATTCATAAACTTGGCCTCTTCTATTTTCAGGTTTTGATTTTCATTGGAAACTCTGCAATGAACTCTAACTTCTCCCTAAGTCCTGGCTCAGGTGTCACTTCCTCTGTGAAGGTTTTCCCACTTGCCCTAGAATAGATATGTAATTGTTCCCTTTTGCCCCCTACCCCCCCACAGCATTTTTTTGTCTGTGTGGAAAATCTATGTTGATGTTTAGATCATGAGCTAATTTATTTATTTTTTATTTTCCCCTTCCAATCTACAATATCCTCTATTTTAAGGAGCGTGTTTTTTTTCCTTTTTTTTTTTTTTTGTTCTCAGTGCCCTATGGAGTGCCTGGATCCTTGTAAGAGTTCAACAAATATCTGGTGAAGGAATGAATGAACAAGTAGAGTCAGGGAACTTAAGCAGAAACATTATCTTTCTGGTGTGTTGATATGTGATTAATGAATGAACCCTTTTGAGTTAAGTACTTTTTCTATTATAGTGATTCATTTCCATACAGTTGATTGGATTGAGACTCACTCAGATGTGAAAGGGTTAATCATTTAGTCTGCCAAAAATACAAGATTGACTGTTATTCAGTCTGTTATCCCCCTTGTATAGACATGGGCGGTATATATAAAAAATTCTAGCACCCAGTCATAACAGAGACATTTTTCTTTTCTATTCACAATCAGTCCATAACTCAGAATTTCCCAATTTTTAACTGCTAAGGGAAAAAATGGAATTTATAGACCTTTTCACCTTTCATTAAAAACCTAGCCTTATAGATTTAAAGAATTATAGATTTGACTATATTATGCCTGTAGCCTTTTAATTTGTAATACATACTCAAAATATTTTTTTCCCTGATATACTCTAGGTTTCAGGCTTACAAATTTTATTGTGGTTTAGGCATGTTTTCCTCCCATTTTTCCTTCCTTCATTTCCCCCTCATTTTTTAAAAGATGTTAATAGGATGAAGATAGTAACCTCCCTCTCTGGCTGTACCCCACTCCAGTTCTACACCCATGGAGTGACCAATGTTAACACTTTAGTGTATCACTTCATGTATTTGGTTGGCATAAATTTTGCAGGGAGGCCAAGGATAGAGGCTAGATAACCCAGGATAACCCAGGCCAGGATAGAGGTTAGTGGCTACCTTTATAACATTCTCTTCTACATTTCCTTGTTCTCTTTTGAAGATGGTTCACAAAGCTGCCAACTGGTGAGGGCATTAAGAAGAATTAATATGCTGAAGAAACTTAATTATGTTTCTGTCATAGAGACTAGGCTGGCCAATAAGCTAGGGTTAAGTCAGCTCATTCTGTGGTGTTGTCCAAATGCAAAAAAGAGGCAGCACACCTGATTGGAAGAGGAGGAGGAGACAAGGTTATTAGACTGGGGTCAGGAATGTCCACTATCCGTCCCCACTGCCCATCCCTTAATTTTTTTTTTAGCAATGAAGGTTACCGCTGCAGATAATTGACACTCATGGGTTCCCCTGGCACCATGGAAAGGCCTAAAACTAAAGCAAAAGCAACGAGAGTAGTTGGGGGATAGGAGAGGGGAGGGAGGAGGGGAAGACAGAGATAGAGGAAAAGGGAGAGTGAGACTCTGATGTAATGAGAAAAGCACTTGATTTGGAAAGCAGATTTCAAAAAGCACTCTATTTAGAAAACACTCAATTTAGAAAATTCTAGTTTCTGGCTTCTGCATAACCTTGGGCAGTTACCTAGCTCATAGTTTCTTCACAGGACTGGTTTGTGGATTGCCGGATGATCACTCAGGACTATTTACCTCTAAAAATCAATGTTGATGATATGAGATAAAGAATTTGAGAGAGTTGGAGAGAAGAAAGAGATATGTGTGTATGTGATTGATAAGGGTCACCCAAGTCAGGTGCCCCGGAACTTGTCTGCTTGGGAGCAATTCCTGCTTCTGTAAATCTGGGGGACAGTTGATTAAATCTTGAGGTTTCTGTTCATTAGCTGGGGTGGAGATGAGAATCTGGCAAATAGAGAAAGCTGTTGTATAGACTGTTTTATATATAACCCCTGCCAGGAAGCCAAAAGATGGTGGGCAGTAGATAGAGTCCTCGTTAACCAGATAATTCTCACACCTGCAGGTTTATCCCAGGAAACCAAGCATGAACATGGTGGCTGGATCCTCAAACTTTCATCTTTAGATGGGTTAATTTTTGACAGAGCACAAAATTCTTGGCTAAGAACCAAAGGTTCTTGGGAACCAATCTCTGTAGCAGGTGTTCGTGTCAAGACTGTTTGAAGGCCCAAAGAGAATGAGTTTCACATTTTCATGAAACTGCTCTCCTTGTCTGACTTCTAAAGGTGCTTTAGAAACAGAGCTCAGACTTGGACCCTTGACCATCAGAGTTCTCCTGTGGGCCATTTCAGGGTAAGCTGGGTGAATGTCAGCTATGGAATGTTAGGAGCAGAGAGAATACGTTGCCAGGGCTGTAGGCTGTTAGTTGATTTCCCAGAAAGTAGTTCTGGGAAGCCATTCTGACTTTTACATATGGCATATCTGAAAAAGGGGTGATTCCGCAATTGCAACATTTTTTGTTTTATGTGCCTCTGAAGGAAAGATATGTTTTGTCCTCCATCAAGTCTTAAAAAATATTTATCCTGGCATCTTCCCATTTTTCTTTCCACATGGGAACTCTGATATTTTTAAGACTAGTTGTGAAATCATTCCTAGGTATGCACATTATATGGAGATCTTAGAAAAACTTTTAAGGAAAATGAGTATAAGATGGTATTTCTTTTATGTACCAGACATTACAAACCATTCTTTTGTTGGGCTTTTCTTGATGAGCAAGGTGTAATAAAATGATGTATATTCTCACCCTGTGGCAGATACCCTTTTTCTAGTGGGACAGAATATTGAAAGCAGCATGGAAGATTAAAAAAAAGGGGGGGCGGCATTTGAAAAATTGTCCTCATGATAGCATCATGAAAGCAATGCTATCTTCTGGTTAAATAAAGCATGAACAATAATTTTGGGTTAGGTATGTTCTTCAATTATGCATTTGATTTTGGTAATAAAAGACGCATGTTTTTCAATAATGTTTGGAATTTAAATACACTGTTCCTTTTTCCCAGTCTTCAGGATAGTACTTACCAATGCAAAAGCTACCTCAAACCCATTCTTGTCCATTAAAAATTAAATGCTTTTACAGTAAATTATTAAAAGAGCTAGGTTGGCTGCAAATCATCAAAGGTACCATAAACCATTATGCAAGCAAGCGAGAAGTCTGATTAAATCTGAGGGATCAGAAGGCATATACATCCCTCGATATCCATCGCAAATTCTAAACTACAAAAGCAACTATAAAATGCTCCATTAAGTGACTTTTAAAAACTCTTTCAGGATTTTCAAAATTCAACAGTAACTTGCCTTTTCAATTAAGTATGAACTAAAAACCTTTACTGCAAAGCACAGATAAACCACTATTTAGAGGTTATTTCCACTTTCTTTAAACCTGCAGTAAAATTAGCCTCATTTTTCCAACTGATATCACTCACTTAATGGAATTGAGGCATTGTAACAGAGTTTGCCAAAAAACTAGTTATTAATTAAGTCCTGTTTCCCCGACGTGTCTTTGTTATCTTTTGATTATATTGGAAAAGAAAATGATGGGCCCTGAATGTTGCAAAATCGCGCTGAAAATGTTGGAAGTACTTAAATAAGACATGTTTAAAGATAAAAAAGAAAACGCGTGGTTTTAGTTTAAATGAGATAATATATAGCAAACTCAGGTTGCCTAGCTTAGTGCCTGGCACATAGGAGACAATAGAGGCTTTTCTTGTTGTTAGGTCTATTTTTCATTTGAAAAACTCAGGCTCCACCAAAGCTAACTTGTCCAGTGCTCCCTGGATGGTGTGAGCCCAGCACTGGTTGATTTTGAAGCCCATGCTCTTTTCTCTGTCAGTGTTATGGCCTTCTTAGTCTCTGCCCATGCAGGCAACTATCTGGCTACTCGTGTATGCATAGATTGGTCTATTGAAACAACTCCTTGACAAATAAAAAGATATAGGAGAAAGAAAAACATAAACATTGAGGTAACATTTGGCCAAATTGTGATAATTGTGGAGAAGGGGAACAACAGCCAGAACAAGCATTTATAGTTGGGTTTTAGAGCAGGGTCTGTTCCAAGTCTCCCACCCATTGTTCCCATCTGCCAAGTGTGGTAAGGAGAACTAATTCTGCAGCTTCGCTGGGATTGGTTTGGGTGGCTAATAAATCTGAATGAATAGGTGAAAAGCAGACATTGAGGGCCAAATGAGAGTCAGGTGATTTCATTTGTCAGTGGTTTTCAAACTCTAGTGTAGATCTAAATCCCCTGGAAGGCTTATTAAAACACAGATGGAACAGGGCAACCCCAGAGTTTCTGCTTCTGTCAGTCTGGAGTGGGTCCCAAGATTTTGTGTTTCTAACTAGCTGGCAGGTGATGTCAATGCTGCAGATCAAAGGCCCTCACTTGAGAACCACTGATTTAGGTTATCTTAAATGAGATAACTTGTCACTGCACACTGTGATGTAGACGTTATTAGCCCCATTTTATACAAGAGAAAACAGGAGAGTGGTGAGTTTGGGAAACTTGTCAGAATAATGGTTTGAATCCTGGTTAAAGAGAAGCTGAGATATTGCCTTCAAAGAATCCTCAGATTTTCTGGATCACTATGATAGGTGACAGAAATGCAAGACTATGGCTGTTCATTCCTACTCTCCTATCACCCTCCAGAGGCAAGGACGTCATCAGAATGAGACAAAAACTGTCACGGATACATGCCCAGCACTGAATGGTCTACAGATGAGAATGAAAACTGAAGCCATTCTTTCCGAGATTCTTGAGCACTATAGATGGAGAAACTGAGGTATGGAAAGGTTTAATGATTTGTCTGATTATACATAGTGTATGAGTGGCAGCACTGGGATATCAGATGTCCTGAAACCCAATCAAGGTTTAATTATAAGAGGAAAAATATGGAGCTTCTGTTTGCCATCTTGATTGCTATCTGCCGTGTCTGCCATCCCAAAAGTGACTGAATGCAGAGGCAGCATAATGAGATGGGATAGGTACTAACACAGGACCCAGAATTCATTTATATATCCTATATTTATTGACTATCTTTCACATGCTTGGCACTTATAGGTGCCGGGGACAAAGGGGTAAACAAGATAGGTGAAATGCTTGTTTTTGCGTTCTAAAAACAGTGAGACAATCCATGAAGTAAATAAATAAATAAATAAATAAATAAATAAAAGGCAGGCCCTGGAAATTTAAGGCATTTTAACTTTATGAAGAAAATTAAAGCCAGATAATGTCAGAGAAAATGACTACAGACTCAGAACTTTATAAGCATGGGTTTAATAGTTTACTAAAGATGCAGAAAGAAATGTGGATGATTGACTACCAGTCAGAGGTTAGGACTATCATACCGCAGTTCTCAACATTTCAGTTTTGTGGGTTCTCTTTTATCCATGAGTATAACCCAAGATTTCCCTTCCAGACTTCTCCAGAAATTATTTTAGGATCCTCAGATGAGGGAGATTCTTGTACTCACAGGTGAACAAACTTTGAAATGTATACCTCTCAATGTATTTCAAAGACAAGGGCAACAATCATAGAAATAATTGATTCAAGCAACAATTATCAATGAATGGTCTAGCTAGTGTGTACGCACATCTTTTTCCAACTTTGACTTGAGTGATATCACAGTGGAAGCTTGAAGTCAGCCATGAGGTAGTATTTAAGTCAGGAAATTGGCAAATGATACAATGCAGATCTCTGAAAATTACTACTTTTCCCCCAGAGGGCTGGTTGTTATTGGGAAAAACTCCTCCATAAGTTTCTCATGCTTCTATACATCTTGTTGTGTATACCAAGAATGTAAGGCCCTGACCTCTCTTTACCCAGGCTATTTCTCAGGTTTGTATCTGCAATGAGCAGTTTTGAAGATTAAGGTAATGTTTCCCTCTGGGACAAAAGGTAGACTTGCTTACTGCTTGCTATAATATTGGTAGATTCTTGAAGATAAGTGTTTCTTTCCTACAGTGCAACACACTGCATATGTAGGTGTCCATCTGGGTCATCCATGTTGTCCCCATGGGACCTGGGGACAAGGGGAACCAATGTAAGCATGCTGATGCTCGTGGTGCTTACTGTGTTGTGAGTAACCAAGTCCATGGTCTGTGATACAAGCGTCTTGTGTTTTCTATAAACATCCATGAAACAGCAACCGGATAACTTCGTAGCTTATAAAACTAGGGTAAAATCAAATTGCAATTTTGACAGTTTGGGGGACAAGGATGGGATACTAACAGAGATCTGACTTTCTGGAAGAGGAAGTTTTCATGAACCCAGTTCAGAGAGATGAGAAAACTTTCTTCAATCTGGTAGTGAGTATTCTTGCCCAGGTGTGGGGAGGAGGGGTGTGTCTGGGAGGTGGAGGTGGAGGAAGGTTTTCCTACTGTCCTGTTAATGAACACAAGTTGAATTAATGCTTACAGGCTGAGCAACAAGAAGGGGGATTAAACAAGCTACCCAAGTGGTGCTTGATTATTGTTTATTCTTTCCTCTTTGCGGGCAGAGGAAGGGATGTTATCATGACAACAGGCAAGCAAACTCCATTGCCCTAGCTGAAAGGCAGTATGTCTGTGGTTACTGAGCCAGGAGTCCCCCCAAACCACACAATTGGTGTCAGCAATGAGGACCTTGTTATTTCAATAGAACTTTGGGTGAACCAAAAACATTGTTTTGGATGAATTGAAAGCACTGGTTAAATCATAAGCAGGAGGCCACTCAGAAAGAAAAGTGAAACCAACACCTTGCCTAATAGCACAGAGACACTGCACTCATCTATCTGCCCCTTTTCACAGCTCAGCTTGGTTGATGAGAAGATGGGGCGCCAGGCACAGGGGTCATCAAAGCCCCTCAGAACAGCTGGGTGGGACTGTCATGGCATGTGTTCAGGGGCAGAAAGAAAAAGGATCCTGGGTCCTAGTGCTTGCTGGACAGCAGAAGTGTCTGAGGGAGGAAGTCGTGCTGTGCTTAGGCTCTGATCCTAGGGTGAGGGATTGAAAGGGGAGAAAAGGCCTAGCAATCAACTTCCCTTTCTGCTGCCCCTGCCATCCTACCATAGCCTAGATTCTCCACCTACCCATCTAGGAAATAGTATAATTGGGAATCTTGTGTAGGCTCTGATGTGCATCAGGTTAGACTCCTTGGTGCCTGAATTCAACTTAGGGGATTTGGGCACAGTTCAGAGTGGGGAAGGGAAGCTCAGTGGCCTACTGCGTGGGGCTTCTGGGCCAATCACTGTACTATTATTGTGGTTTCCACTGCTGAATGCATAATTGGCAATGCTGTTTTATATGCTTGTTTATATGCCCTAAACATCAGGGAATTTTCCTACTCAGGGACTACCACATGGACTGTCCCCTCCTGGCTGGTTCAACAGAAACAATATATAAACCTAGATGGAAAAAGAGATATCTCAGCTTTAGTTAAGGGTGTAATGATTGCTAGAGTATTGGGAGGCCACTTTTTCGTACGATAGACCACCTTTCTGACGGCCACCAATTGGTGTTTCCCCTCCACCCCCCTTTTTTAAGGTAGCTGATAATCTGCTACTAAGATCTTGTTGAAACTGAAAACCTCATCAATGGAGGCCTCGTGACTCTCAGGCTGGGTATACCCATTTGGGGATGAGTCAAAATGGACTCAAGAAAACAAGAATGGGAAGGGTCCAATAAGTCTGTCTTGTGAAATGGAAATGGTGTATTTAGGAGTGTAGGTCGAGTGGCATCTGAGTTTTACATGAAAAAGTGGCAGTCATCTCTTTGGGAGGAACTTTATCCCAATTTTATCCCCCACTCCATTGGGGCATCTTCACCAAATAATAAAAGTTCATATTGCCAGGAACTGGACAAATGGAAATTGTGTGCTCTCTGAAAAGATGCAATGGGAGAAACACAACATATATAAGATTCTTGTCAAAAATATATAACTGAATCTAATCTTGAAGAAACATAAGATAAACCTAAATGGAGAGACATACTACAAAATAACTGGCCTGTATTCTTTCAGATGCCAAGGTCATGAAAGATAAAGACATACTGAAAAAAAAAAAAAAGACATACTGAGGAATTGTTCTATATTAAAGAAGATTCAAGGAGACTCATGATCCTAGACTAGAGCTGAGTAGTACAGATATTTTTTTCTAGACTAGATTGAGTAGTACAAATGTTTTTCTCTTTTGCTATAAAAGACATTATTAGGATAATTGATGGCAATTAAATAAGATCTGTATATTACATAGTAGCTGTGTATCAATATTACTTTTCTAGGTTTTAATAACTGTACTGTTGTTATATAAGAACATGTCCTGTTTCTTTGATAGAAATATACTCAAGTATATATGTCTGTAACTCTCTCCCAAACAGTTCAGAGGGAACACACATACACCCCTCCCCCCACCACACACATACAGAGAATAATAAATAAATGTGTTAAAGCATTAACATTTGGTGAATCTGAATCCAGAGTATATGGGGATTATTTGTGCTATTATTGGAACTTCTCTAAAAGTTTGAAACTATTTCAAAATAAAAAAGTTAAAAAAGAAATGAGGAATCCTAACTGATAAGGTGAAATATCCACTGAAAGATTTAGACATAATTTAAAAAGAAAGGCGGCCACAGTGTTCCTGGTCTTCTTCAGGGGAGTAGGACTTTGAAGGAATAAAACATTAAGAATATTCTTATTCTTTGTGTTTTTAACTTTTAGAGTATTTGACAAAGAGTTGTTTTGATTATGGAGGGGCCGATTTTATACTTAGTTGTGGGAAGGAGGATGTTAAAGGCTTTACCTGGGATGGTTGAACAAAGGCTCCTTGACCTGAGAAAGAATGAACAGACAGCTTTGCATAGATGTTGGGGCAGTGACAAACTAAAAGAGCCAAGGGGCCCTTTGGGGGGGCTCAAGACTGCAAGACGACCACTGAGACTGGAAGACCAACATGCTATTCCTGATTCTAATAGCTCGACTTTGAGCAAGTCATTTTACCAATTGTGATGTTACTTTCCGAATTTCTAGTGTAACCCAATCTGTCAGTACATTATAGTTCCTGATGAATATATTAGCTGAATGAGTGGATGAATAAATTAATCTGAAACGAGGGCAAGATATGATATCTCTAAAGACTCTAAAGCTCTAAAACTTTAGATTCATGTAATATTTATTGAATGTTTGCAGAATGCCTGCCATGGTGTCAAATGTTTTAAGTTGGAGGAAGACGGCATGAAAGATGCATGGTTCCTGCTTTTGCTATGTTTATAATCCAGTGAAACAGGCATCCAGAAAAAGTGATGCAAAATTTACACAGGAGTCAACTCTCTTCTCTGTTTTTAATAGATATATTTGTCCTTTTGGCACAAGTTAGTGTGCATTATTCTAGATTTCAGATGTGTGTAGGAAGATTCAGAGCAAAAATACACTTCTACCTGCGTTTTAGGTGAGGAGATCAAATTCTGCATTTCTTCAATGTAGGCAGATTTTTCGCTGAACTGTTGTGGGCTTGGTGGCTCCAGGAAAGAATTGTCTCTGCAGTGAGAGAGCATTTAGTTCTTTTCTCACCAGGCCTGCAAAATACTACTACTACTAATCACCTATAGAAGGCTACTGTGTTCTAGGTGCTGGGCTTGGCATTTCTATTACAACCCTCTCAACCATGCTGCGAGACCGGTATTATTAGGTAGAGATTAAAAATTCCTTTTTGGGGGCACCTGGGGGTTCAGTCAGTTAAGCCTCCGCCTTCAGCTCAGGTCATGATCCCAGGGTCCTGGGATCAGCCCTGCATGGGGCTCCTTGCTC